GCACCGAGGCCAGCGCAACCGACGGTTGCGGGGGCTGAGGGGAGTTTTTGTTCCTTGCCCGGGGTGTACGCGTTCGGGTCCCCACATTAAACCGACCTTGTGTCATATCTCGTTCTAGTGGGGGAACGAGTAAATACCGTGTAAGTTGTTCTTGAGTAGTTTGTAACGCATTATTTACTATCTCTCAGTTGCATCTTTGTCTTTGGGCAGAGTGCGCTCATGGGCTTCTCTGTGAAAGGACAGACGGGCGACCGAGGAAAATAATACTGAAGAGGTGCCCAGTCCTGGGGAACAGCTGCCCGAGGCCGCACCCTCTCATTGCACCGAGGCCAGAGCAACCGACAGTTGCGGGGGTTCGGGGAATTTTGTTCCTAGCCCGGGTATACGGGCTCGGACTCCTCATATTAAACCGACCATGTCTCACAACGCGACTTCGTCAGGGGTCGAATAAATACCAAATTGTTATTAATTAGTTTGTAACACGTTTATTCATCGTCCCTGTCTTTGGGCAGAGTGCCCTCAGGGGCTTCTCTGTCGAAGAAAAATTATACTGAGAGTTGCCGGCCCTGGGGAACAGCGCCCTCTCATTGCACTAGTGAGAAGGACGGTTGAGGGCGTTCGGGGATCTTTTGATGCTAGCCTGGGTGTACGCGCTCGGGATCCCCACATCAAACCGGCCTTTTTGTTCCTAGACCGGGTTAAATTAAACCGACCTTGTGTCACAGCGCAACTTCGTGGGGTTTGAGTAAATACCAAATTACTATAATTTAGAGATGGGGGTTTTAATCTCAGAATTCGTGGGAGAATGGAGCTCCACTTTCGCTTTTATTGATATAGATCCCATAATATAGATCTCAGGCAGCAATTATGTTTCTTTAACTCTTCAAATGTTGAATATATAACTAATTTTACTTTTTATTTTCTCATCTTTACACTATATTAATTTTATCCTCTAAATTGTCCCCTGTTCTGTCACCCATGAAATATAAATAATTGTGTGTACGGAAAGTTTAAAGATCTACGAACATCAAATCGTCTTTAAATTAAGTGGCAGCAGAAGAATTATAGTTGGACTTTTAAAAGGTAAGCTTAAACATTAAGTCAATACTTAAATGCAGTGATCAATTTTGAGTTCTTCTGTAGTTTATCATTGCCTATCACATCTACTCCTTCCTAGCTATTGTAATGATGACCAAACAGTCCTACACAGAAGCTAGCTTAAATGCCGCCAGATAAGGGGGAGGGGGGTTAGCTATCCTAAAATTTTAGCTAGCTTAAAATTTTAAGCTAGCTGCACACCTGGATACGAGTTACCCCGCTTACCGCGAAAATAACTAGTATAATATATTAATATATATTTTTAACCTCGCATAATCTAGCACCCTTGAATCTGAGCTCAACGAAAATCGTTCCCTGCGCCTAACTTTTCTAGAACTTTTGAATGAGGTATGAATCATTGAAATCGGGCCAGTGGGAAAGGAGGAGTTGATTGGACAGACACACGCACAAACACACACACAAATACACTGTACTTTATATATATATATATATATATATATATATATATATTACCAGCATATATTCATTTAAAAATGTTTCATTGAATAATATAGACATATTGCGTCATTATTCATTTCATAATAATCCTTTCTAGTTCTCTAATTATCTTCTTGATGTCAAGTTGAAATTCATCAAGGAATTTTTGTCAAGCCAATTACTTTCGATGTCCTCCAAAATCGATTTCTAATTGCAAATGGCCTATTTAAAACTTAAAATATCTTTTTTGTTGAGAAAATATATGGGTGAGTCATCAGAAGAAAACGAGTTAATTCAAAGGTTAAAAATATGTAAAAAAATTTGACACACGTTTAATTAAAAAAAGGAAACCAGCTTAGAGAAAAATTAATTTTAGCAGTAAAAGTCATTTTAAAATCTCTCGAAATAAATGTTTTTTTCTCGGCTTAATACAGAACAGGATATGTTGGAAATTAGAAGCGTTATATTGTATCAGCCTTTCAATCGGCATGTCATGTCAACCTTGAAAATCAGTATGAGTGATATTATCAGGGTTCGAACATAGGCCACCAGCGCCGGTCGGAAAACTGATCCGAGCAGATTATTATCTCGATTAATTAAAAGACATTGACGGGTCGCGGAAATTACTTGTTGATCCAGGTAAACCTCTGTGGATATCGAACTGAAACTTTTATTCACTCTTCGATGTTAGAATATTACTTTTCCGATGTCCATTACTTGGGATATTTCGTCTTGGTCAATTGTCTTTTTTTTTGTTCCCAATGAATCTCCGTGTGTCCATATTATGCGGCTCAGGACTTGCAATTAATATATGCCAGCAAATGCAGAAAGTACTGATAAAAGGACTAGACGAGATATCCGTAGAAATAGTGGAACAAGAACACTCTACTCTAGTAGATTAAATTCAATTCACTTCGAAATTCCTTGAAAGTCGCCCATATTGACAGTCACCTGAAGAAGGCCAGCGTTCACAACGGCTGAAACGTTCTGAAAATAATAAGAATAAAGATGAAGACAGTTGACCGCATGTAGATAATTATCTCCTCATCCCGGAAATTCAGACAGAATAAACACCAATTTTGGTCCTTGGTAAGACGATAAACTACGTCCAGCAGCAAGACTAGGAGGTTTTGAGGAGCGTGGAACCACCTTTTAACTTCTGGTGTTCCCCGGTCCACCCTAACCCAGGTGGTAGCATCTGTTAGGGTCACATCTATGGGCAAATAGTTAACCCTAAACTAGGTTTTAAATCACTAAGAAAGTATAAAAATAGGTTTTGGTACCAGCAATAATTTTTGTAAAAGGTAATTGCCAGCAGTGAATTTTTGAAGGAAAAATTATTAGCAGTGGTACATTGTTACCAGTAATACATTTTTGAAGGAAAAATGTGTTACCAGCAATACATTTTTGAGGAAAGAAAAATGTTACCATCAATGTATTTTTGAAGAAAAGAGATATTACCAGTAATAAAAATCATATCGGCATTAAATAACGCATCGAGGTCGATATGTTGACTGATATGACATCTGTCACGACACACTCAGTAAAATCTGGCTGGTGTGATTGGAAATCGCTGTTGACTAGTGAATTCGATCCTGTCTGGTTGCCCCATATCTTGTACTCAAACTAAACCTAATCTTAATTTATAGCGTGGTTCGCGCAAGGGACTGAAAATGTTTAGCGAGCTTGTATGGTTGACCATTACAACTGAGTAGTTAGATACTCATTTAGTGAAGCCATACTCGTAGCCTTGTGTCAGTCTGAGCCTAGCAAATGCCAACTGCTTTAATGTAGTTTATTAAAATTAATCACTTTTAATTCCATTTTACAACAAAACGGGACGAATATTTTTGAAGGCACTTCTTTTATATAACTCCAATATAAACATATATAAATAAAATATATATTTAAAATATAATAGTATTAAAATGACCAATATCATAATCGCAAGCCGCTGTTTCGTTTATGCGAAATTGGTCCAAAATGCCGTTTACTGCTGCGAACTTATTAAACTAAAACTAGTTGGCAAAAATATATTTCAAAGGAATAAAATATAAACGAAGGTACATCGACATAATATAAAACTTTAATAAAAATAATAATAATAATAATAATAATTATTAAAGACCACAAACAAAAACGGTGCCTCCTTATTGATATGGCAGTCCCTGCTGACTGCAATGTATTTTTGAAGATATTCAAAAAGTTGTCAAAATACAAGGACCTTGAAATAGAAATCTCGAAAATGTGGCATATGGGAACATCAACAATACCTGTTGTAGTTGGAGCCCTAGGACTAGTTGGAAAAGATTGTAGTAGACTAATTGAAGGGATTCCTGGAAGTCCATGCCTCAAGGAGATACAAAAATTGTTCTGACAAGTACAGCCCACACTTTACGAAGAGCTTTGTCTATGTAATTTTTTTTTTTTTTGTCAGTGGAAAGTGTCATGATGCCATTTCTAATCTTAGGTCCCTAGGCGGGACCCGGAAAGAAATGTGTAAACGCCAGAAATCAAAGAAAATACAAATAATGATAATAATAATTTGAAAAAAAAAGTAGATGGTTTAAATGTTTTCAAAGCCATCAAAACCTGATTAGTTAGATCCTGAGGAGAAAAGCTGATTTTAATTTACAAAGAAAACTTCTATATTAAGACTAAAAATAATGTTATCTAATTCACTTTCTTTATCACAGTTTGACTGCTGCGTAATTCAAATAAATTTTCTCAGTAGGGGGAGTTACGCACCCTCTATCATCATCATCATCATCATCATCATCATCGTCGTCGGTCCCTCAGCTGCCCCATGGTCGAGGGGATCTGAGGCCAGAAGAAACGGAAAACTCCATTCGGATCTGTTTGGCGGTGACTCTCAGGTGTTCCGACAATGTCATGTGTCCCGTCCACTCTTTGCACTAAATTCAGAGAGTGTGAAAACTTTTCGATGGTTGTAACCTGAGTTGGTAGCTGGATGGTGTTTGTCGCTTCCGTCGCCTACTTGTCATGCCTATCCAGGAGTGAGTCGATGGGACGAGCGTCCGTTGTTGATCCGAAGAAATTTTATTGAAGAAAAATATCCAACCTTCAGTAGGATTACAACTTGGTTACTCCTTGGCAGGTGAGACAGTCGTTTGGTTCGACGTGCTTTAGACAGTCTCAGCCACGAAGTGTGTCATTGGTCAAGTAATGTCGAATAGTGCCTTATAAACACAAATCATTAGAAGAAACTATTTAACTTTACTTGTCATCGATGTACTTCGTAGCCGAGACGGTCAAAAGCACATCATATCAAATGACGGTTTCTCTTGCCAAGGGAGACACAGGTTCGGGTCATGCCGAACAACACATATTTGTTTTAATAAGATTTCTCAAATATCTATACCAGGAGACTAAAATAAATGGAGCCTAAACAAATTTGGATAACCACTAAAAATATCGTTTAAGTAACAAAATTTGTTGGATTAATGAATAAAAAATCAATCACTATTTTTAAAATATCTATCTATCTATCTATCTATCTATCTATCTATCTATCTATCTATCTATCTATCTATCGCTATAGTTCCACGTGTCATGTTTAATGGATGTCAGTTATCAGTTATCTCCTGTTAATTCCCCTCTTCAAGTTCTCTTTTTAATCGGGTATTGAACTCACACTGTTTGGGTCCTTTATCTACTATGCCATGTGTCCTTGAGTACACAAATAAATATGCCAAAAAAGATGAAGACAATAGTCCGAATAATGTAAATAGTGCGATTGAAAGGATTTTGATCTTCATTTGGTGTTCCATACTTGTGGCCTGGTGTCAGATTGAAATTAGCAAATAATAAAATAGATTCCCTGAACTTTTTGATCCGATTATATTACAGTTATTTGATTATATGATTTATTTGCTATTTAAGCAGAAAAGAGATTGATTAAATGAATGATGTCTGAGACAAAACATGTTCAATAAAACGTATTGTGTCTTAAATAATTTCAGTTTTTTATTAACTTTATTCTTCAGAATATTACGGTCTGTTCCCCAAAAGAAAAAATTCTCATGGCCCAACCTAATGCATTTAACCATATCATATCCATTGTAAAATCCGACATTAAAAATAAAAATCCTGTATTTACACTATTTACATTGTTCGTACTCATTTCTTTTGCCATATACACAGCGTTTCGGTAGTTGTACGCTTCAGCCTTCTTCAGGTGATTGAAATTTCGCACCGAACTATTTATTTCGTCCATCAGGGTAGATTATTCTAGTTCCACGTGACATGCCTCCTTCGGATATCCGAGTAGTAGTTATTTCCCTTTAACTCAACTCTACAAGTAATTTGTTCACCTCTACTGTGGCCAGATATTGAACTTTGGATCAAGTCACTGGATTACCTCAACCAACGCTTTTATCCACTGGGCCATATATACCGGAGCTCATATTACAATTTGTTTTTCTCTGGTATTCCGCATTACTGGTTCCAATATTATATTCCTGTCTATGCTTTGCCGGATTAGGAGATTTTTGTGGCCTATACCGAAACGTCGTGAATATGGCAACAAAGATGAGGACAGCACTCCGAACAATGTAAATAGTGCAAATAATTACAATACCAGTCTATATTTCTGAGATGAGGTATTATGTTCACTATTTACATTATTCGGAATATTGTCCACATCTTTGTCGCCATATTTATTACAACAATTAGGCCGTTGTACGCTCCGGCCTTCTTCAGATGGTTGGAATGTCGAACTTAACCCTTTATTTCGCTCACTGGGGTAGACTTCTAGTTCCACGTGCCATGTTTAATGGATGTCAGTTATCAGTTATCTCCTGTTAATTCCCCTTTTAAAGATCTCCACTGCCTTAACCCGGTATTGAACTCACACTCTTCGGATCCTGTTACTGGATGTAACTAACGCCTTTATCCACTGTGCCATGTGTCCTTGAGGACCCAAATAGTGTGAGTTCAATACCCAGTTAAGGCAGTGGAGAACTTGGAGAGGGGAATTAACAGGAGATAACTGACATCCATTAAACATGGCACGTGGAACTAGAACAGTCTACCCCAGTGAGCGAAATAAAGAGTTCAGTTCGACATTCCAACCACCTGAAGAAGGCCGGGGCGTACAACGGCCGAAACGTTGTAATAAATATGGCGACGAAGATGAGGACAATAGTTCGAATAATAATTACAATACCCTATTTCACAAATATAGACAAATCCTGAAGAAGTCCGGTGTGTACAACGGCCGAAATCTTAGAAATATAGAAAATACCATTAAAGAAATACCATTTCAGGAATATAGAAATATACAAAAAATCGATATTAATTATTCCTTATCAGCCATTAACGTCCATCGTCCCATATTGGGATCAATGGGTATTAATCGGTTAAATAAGATATGGCATTTTTATAAACCTACTTTATTTTTACGGTGCTGTTCACCCTGTACAAAATCCACTCGGGATAGAGGGTTACAGTAAGAGGTAATGCGGATAGGAAGGGAAGATAACAATTAACCCTAGAATTGAACAGGTTGAGATTATAGTGATCGGGAAACATCCTCTTGGCAGCGCTTCGAGGGAAGAAGCTGCTGGAATGGAAAGTCCGAGTAATTCCATGAAGTCCACAAGAACTCTAAGACGCTTTTGGAATCTATCAAGACTGGGCATAAGACGATAATTTGATTGAAGGTAAACTAAAGCATTTTGGAGTTGATTGGGACAGAATTTTGCTTGATTACCTTACCAAATACTCTATATTTTCATAAATTTAAAAAAAATCTCGAACTATACTAAAGATGATTTCTTTTTCGGACAAATCCCTTGTGTACAGGGCCTATTAAATCTTATGCTATTGTTTGTCTAATGTAATGCCCAAGAGCCACTCAAGATAGGGAGTTACAGAATGGGGTTATTTTATGGACGCAAAGGTTCTAAATTATGAGGATATGTAAAATAGATAACGGTTGAAATAGAGTTGAACAGGCTAAGAGAGTGTAATGGTCGAGGATGGATCCTCTCGAAAGTCTGTTATATAAAGAAACTGGCCAAATGGAATTTCCTTTTACAAAATAATATTTAATTTCAAATAGGAATATATATATATATATATATATATATATATATATATATATATATATATATATAAAAATAAAAGTGAACATAAAGTCAACACTTAGAGGCGGCAATCTGTTTCATGCTATATGCAATCGTCAGGCCACCTGTTGCCTCTAAGTGTTGACTTCTATATTCACTATATTTACACACGCTCTATCTCTGATATTGAGAACTTTATCCCATAAATATAGCACACCTTAAAACTATATTTCTTTATATTTCTTCATATATATATATATATATATATATATATATATATATATATATATATATATATAATGAATTTCAACTTAACAACAAGAAGGTAATTAGAGAACTAGAAAGGATTATTATAAAAATAAACAGATATATCATTATATTATTCAATGAAACAGGATTGAATGAAGATATGCTGTCTCTCTTTCCCTCTCTCTCTCTCTCTCTCTCTCTGTATATATATATATATATATATATATATATATATATATATATATATATAGGTGTGTGTGTCTGTATGAATATATCATTTTATCTTAAGAATTTCTAGAACTTCCTCTTAAAGATAATACTCATATATATATATATATATATATATATATATATATATATATATATATATATATATATATATATATATATATATTATATATAAATGTATTATTTAATACGATGTTTGATTTATCAGCAATCTTTGTCGGTTAGGTGTAATACATTTTTATCCTGCAGATAAAGTTGCATTTGCAGATCCCGGAAGTAGTATATAAACTAACTTGTTAACATACTTCCGGTTAATTTTATTATGTTGATTAGTGCAATGTTTCTACCGAGTGTCGGGGTGGGGGGTTTCGAGTTCGTGTATTTATTTTTGCCTTGGAAATTTTTTATACTAATTAACGAATGTAACTCAATAGTTGATTAATGTTTGCTTCTTTCCGGATCGTCCGAACACATTTCTTCAAGCAGATGCCAACTCTGCAGACATCAACGCAGGAAGACAAAACGAATCTTTTTGGAAAACTTGATATTTATTACAACCCATACACAACTGACCGTCTGCGAAAAGGGGTATTTGTTTCTCTTTTGAATTCCTGTTGTTCTCCCTCGTATTTTTGCCGCTTTCAATCAAAGGTTTCATGTCTATAATACGATATTTTAGTGTATATTGACCTGCCGGCCATTATTGATATAACAATATTTGAAACTAAATCCTTAATGTGCATTAATTTCTATATGTCGTAGCCAATCTCCCATTATTTATTTGGACTTATCACCACATTTTTATTTAGTTTTGTTTTCTAAAAGAATATCCCTAAACTCGATTATTTTCTTGTGAGATCCCATATTGAGGCTTATTTTCAAGTTGTGAATTTAACACTTCTTGCAAAATTATTATTATTATTATTATTATTATTATTATTTAGTTTAAAAAACTGCCAGTGCCTGCTTTTTTGGAACTAAATTTATATACAAAAACAAACCGTTTGTGAATTAGTATAAAAGCGTGGATAACATTTGCAAATATACATACATACATACATATATATATATATATATATATATATATATATATATATATATGAATAGTTTTTAGTAACATTGTGATTATCCACCTAATGAGACGTTTAAAAAAGGTTTTCCTTTTTTGACGTTGAAACTAAAAAGTACAATTTTGTAGTGGATATGTGCATGTTCTAATGTGACACTGCATAACAAATTAATAAATATTTACGGCTTTAGTTTTTGTATTGAGCACTATTTTTAAATTAATGTTTTGAATGCTGTGATTTTACTGTTCGTTCTTCTACACTTCGATATTTATATATATATATATATATGTGCACCCTTGTGCAAATTAATTGAAACAAAACGAATAATTCCGTTATTATTTACTCTTTTCCGTATTTTTCCAACGAAACATGACCCAGTGCACATATTAGTACTTTGTATTTCCATTCGACAAAATCGTTCCATACAGATTGACCACCGATTCTCGATTGGATTTAAATCAAGATAGTACTCGGGATAAGATATAGTACTTTGATTTGCTTTCTGGTAAGGCTTGCCAGTGTGTTCGTGCAGCGTTACAATTTTCGTACGCTTCCTTGGGGTAACGTCCATCACAGACAATGACTGTAGGGCAACTAATCGACAGTCGTGACAATAGTGTCTAGGTGTGATAAAAATCTGATTCAATCACGGATTACGCAATATTTTTCAAAGCCAAACAAATTTCATCATACACCCCGAAAATAGATTCATATTACTGCACACCACTTTAAATAACCTAATCTAAGGAAAAATAGAAATCGATTACACCCTGACACTCCAGTGGGTCTAAAACTGACTGTATGATGAAAGAAAGGAAACTAAAGCGGTTGTTTCAATTAATTTGCATAAGGGTGTATAATATTGTGTGAAATTCATCTTGCATAATTAATTTGTTTTATTTATTTACTAATCTGAGTTCCATATAAAGAAATAGGGTACACGGTGAGATCCAAACTCACTATAAAAGCCAACTTCCTGGCGTGACGTGCTTAACCATGATGCTATGATCAATACGCTATTAGCGCCTTTGATAATGTTACTTACTTTCTGATAGAAGCCTTTTGCCAGATTAAGTTAATCAAATTCTCATTTATTGGATTCACTCAATTTTGGAATAGAGTCAGTTATAACGTACTCGAAGAAACGATGAACTGAACACAATTTTTTGTCTTAATGTTTCTCCGTCCAGTGTATTTTTATAAATGTTCTTGACGAGTTTTAGTACTTTTGTCTGGCTCAGTGGTTAGTGAAAATTAGTTTCTTTAAAATTTACCATATAAAAATTTTTTTGCATATCAGAAACAAACTTTGTTCCTATTTAGGAAAGGATTTTATAAAAATAAAGTTTTCTAGCATATACTTAATGCTAGTCTTTAGAGAGTAACTTAAAATTCCTTGACTAAACGGAAACAGATTTAATTATTAACGAAGCAATAACAAGAAACCTGGAGATTCTTTTATTATAAAGCAGGAATCTTAATTTGAAAAAGGCCAAATTATTCATTCTTCATAATTCTTTTGAGACTGGTGATAGTTTCTAGAATTTTTATGCGGGTAAACTTGAGAATAAACTTGCAATTATAATTTGCAGAATTGGACAAAAGTTGATATTTTTAAAAAATCAAATTTCTGCTTATCAAACATCCATTTAATTTATTGTTTCATGCGAACGATTATGCAAGACACTCGACACTTTAATGTTCGAGAGAAGAAATATTGTGGACATACTGACAGTCTTTATGGAAAGTGAAGTGAAGTTTGAAATTGCAAGATATTTTTGTGATTGCTATTGAGAAAAAAAAAATTGGCGCCATTTCTATATTTAATTAGCATAAAGCAATTGTTGCCCCCCACACCAAAGAAATCAACCAAAGTACTAAAACACCACCACCACCAAAACGAACAACAGCATAGACAACAACAAGAACAATACGATAATAATAATAATAATAATAATAATCATAAAGTCTAAAAAACATAAATGCGTATAGGTTTGATAAAATATTTCAGAATTTCATAATTGATTTCACGAAGTAGTTCCTTGCAGATTAACTACAGATTCTCGATTGGATTTAAATCAGGAGAATTTCCGGGCCAGTCTATAGTACTTTGGTTTGCTCACTGGTAAGGCTTGCCAGTGTGTTCGTGCAGCGTTACAAATTTTCCAAGTTTCCTTGGAGTAAAATCCATCGCAGACTATGGCCGTGAGGAAACCAATCGACAGTCGAGACAATAGTGTCTGGGCGTGGAAAAAAATCTGATGCAATCAAGGAAGACGCAATATTTTTCAAGGCGAAACAAATTTTATTAAACACCCCGAAAATAGATTCATATTACGGCACACAACTGCTTGATTGATTTTCTAAAAATAAGGCTCCGTCAATAGAAAGCGGCATTTAAACAAGACCGTTATTCCATTAGTAGTAGGAGCACCGGGAATGGTTGAGAGGAGTACTGATAGACAGATAAAGAAATTCCAATAAAATTCATCTTTATCTGAAATAGAAACATCTTATTGGACATAACGTGAGAAACTTTTTTAAAAAAATCATTTTATTTCGAATCTCACATGAAAGAGTTAGCAAATGATTCAATGGAAGAGTAAACGTAAATAAACAAACAAACATAAAAGTATCATCATCAGCAGTAGCACAACCACCACTACCACAACAACAATAATAATAATAATAATAATAATAATCTGTTACGTATCAATCAACAGTGGATAATGTTCAATATTTTCATTTCAATGACTATTTATTACAGCAATCTTTCGTTTTTCTAGATGGTCAGTCGTAGTAAGAATGGAATTTTAGTGTTTCCACAAAGATAAAGTAAATTTCATATTTAGATATATATTTAGATCCTCAAACTGACGCTTGGTAAATGATTCCATTGCAAACAAATAGAAAGTTACAAGAAGTCTTTTAATTATATACCGCAGAAGTTTCGCCAAATTATTTTTGTCAGAAGAGAATCACGAATCACCGAGATTTACTTGTCAATGGCTTTCGAAATCTTTACCCTTCCGTAAAGATCCCTTTATTTACTTCACACTTGACGATCCTAGAACCCTCCCCCCCCCACAAAAAAACAAAACAAAAACAAAACAAAAAACCCAAGTCAAAGAGAACTTAAATCTTGTCTTTTTGCTGCACTTCTTTCGCTTGTCACAATGAAGAATCAAACTTCTAACGGATGCGTACCGGTTGTATCTTTTCTTCTTTTCTTGGTGACCAACCTCACCAACCCGGAATTGTCGCATGCAAAATGCGAAATAAAGATGAACGAAGATGCTGCAAACATTTTCCGTGATTTGCTTCAGTTTCATCCGCAACTGATAGAATTTCATTTGAGATTCAACGGACTTAATGTCACAAATCTAACACGCCCTATACGCTTTGACGAACTATCAAACCCAACACTTTGGCATTGGATCATATCACGCCACGAATGGGTTGTAAATAGCCATTTTTATTACGATTCGGATATTTTTACTCTGGGATTAATAAACAATTACGTAAGATCCATGAACGTTACTTTTGAAGTTCCTGACATCTGTCGGACGTCGGATTTAGACAGAAAAGAACTCTTCCGTCAAGTTTACATTAACCTTGAACAGATGGTGATGGTTAACAAGTCGTTCCAGTCGTTATTGTGCTATGAGGTTAACCTCTGTAGGTCACTAAGCTTAAGTGCTCCTGCTAAATACCGTATTGCAAGATACTTCGGTATGATGCGCTATGTACACACAAGACGTTGTTGCGACATTAACTGGCACAAGCCCACAAATATAAGCAACGTGCCTTGGGATTGTACACCGTATCGGAAGTACAAACATCTCGATTTTATAAACATTATTGGCGCGATTATTTTTGCTTTTAGTCCGCTTTTCATTTTTAAACTGTTCGCAGCCCGAACACAAAAATGGATTTTGCTCGACAACGGGTCTTTTCAACAACTGAGCGACGGCCATATTGATTGGTTAAACCCGGACGAAACTTTCTCTATTTTCTGGGCGATACTAAGGATTCGAACTAGCAAACGTTTCACCTGTTTTATGAGGAGATTTTTTCGTATAGCGTTTGTCCTCTTCACACCCATCGTTCTTTATGTAATGCTTATTGTTTATTATCTTCATAAATACAATCAGTTGCTTATTTACTTAAAAGAAGGTTTGCCATTGGGCTATCTATCGATAATGTTCGGCTTTCGACGCAGTTTTGAAAATACAGATGGTTTCGTAGGTGGGCCGATTATCTCTCTTTTCACTTATTGTTCTGTCGGTTTTATTCTTATCTCAATTCCGACAAGCATTCCCAACGCTTTGTGTACGCACATCATCAGACAAAGTGAGTCCTGCACATTTCTTCAAGTGGATATCGATATTCTGGAAAAATATGGCAGCGTCAGAGTTCGCAGTTTGTACGATTTTGAAAGGGTCTACGGTATTCTCAAAGCACGACTCCTGATGTCAATAAACCCATCCTTTTGGGCTGAACTTGTTTCTCTTTGGTTGTCCCGAATGCTTCGCTTGACAGACTACCTCCAAGCAACATTTTTCCTTTCCAACCAGATAGTGTGGTTTTTATTATTTCTTCTTTCGGGTAGCATCTTAATAATCCCCTGCCTGTTAGAAGCGTGCCTCTGTATACTCTGTTACAGTGTTCCTATCAGTTTCATTTTCTTTACCGTTCCTAAGGGTTACTTTGTCTCTTACGTTCTGCCACGTATACGCAGCCATCAAATTCAAACTTGTTTTACAGGAATCCTACTGGCCATTTGCATCGTTGGCGGTTTTTATTTCTTCTACTGTTATTCCTTGTATGTGTTTTGTGTTTCTTTCTTCATCGTATCACGATTTGTGATTCAAACATTTACCGTCGTAATACTCAATCCAGAATATTCCATGTATCTGGTCAGCATCCTTTTTTGTTTCTACTATATTTACGAGCTGGGACGACAAGTCATCATCAATTATCGCCAGCTGTTGTCGATTTCAATTCAGATTGCAGAAAAAGCTCAGTCCGAAGAGAACAGTTTTATATTCGATCGTCCGTTTGTGTTAGTGTCCTACGCGTCTGATAAATACATACGTTCAGATATTTTCTTAGCAATCATCAGGAAACATTTTCCCTTACGTTACGAGTTGGCTTGGGCTTGTGGAAAAGCGTCAGTCGTCTTGTTTTTCTTGGTTATCTCCCTTGATATTTTCTTCATTACTAACACACAAGCATTGGCTTTCCCTAAGTCAGTGTGGGTTTTCTTTACGGCCTGCTTACCAAAACTCTTAAACGTGATACATCAAAGACATTTTCGTATTGCAAATCTCGAGGAGATAATTTATAGAATTTTACAAACGTCTAATTAAAGACTTTTTTTGCTTTTTGCATAAAATTTCGGTGACTGTTTACTTGAGATGAAACTGCAAAGTTGTGTATTGACAACACTTATATTTATCGATGGGAAACTGCCAGCTATAAATCCTGACACAGCAGTTTTTTCTAAGAGATATCGACTACAATACAACGCAATAATTTTAATATCCTTTCTTTTATAGTATCCAGAAGAAATGAAAGTAAAAATATTAACAAAACAGAAGCCAGAAAGCTCAGGGTCATTCGTAAAATTTCTGAAAATGATGACAATGGTGCAAATAAATATTTCATAATAAAAACGAATCGTTTTTTAATTTTTTGTTTCATAATAATCGACAGAATCGTTTATTTTATTCTTGGCATTGTTTAAAATAAAGAATTTTAATAACTTCAAACGAACAAATAAGCAAGGGATCTATCGATGCCACCCAAACATGAAAACTGAAATTGAAAAAAAAGGACTGAGAACCTGAAATTGTATGTATGAAGTAGTACCCCAGAGGATGGGGAAATAGTACAATGTAGTACAGACACTTGCCGCTACCCTTTTCAGCAGTGGCACTTGTCAGATCGCTGTGTAAATGTCCAATGGGATTACTTCGATGAAGACGTTGGAAACTAGGTGCTAGATGATATCATTTTCTTCATGGGGATATCTCTGAAACATTTGGGTAACACGTCTTAAACAATGCAAACAGATATCGCACTATCAATACAGTATTACTCGGCATACAAAGTCCATCGCCCAAAACAGTTAAAAGTCTTTCAAAAAATAGAAGTTTATAGAATGATGATTCGGTTCCTGTGTTCATACTAAATCCAAAACACGTCTATTTAACACACGAGTATCTTGATTACCTAAGAATTCTCTATTTCTCTCTATCTCCTATCACCTCTCTCTTTATATATATATATATATATATATATATATATATATATATATATAAAATAAAAATGACAATAGGAAAACTGGTAATTGCTGACGCGTTTCGTCCAATGTGGACTTTATCAAAGCAAAATACGAAAATGAAATTAAATGAACAAAGTAACTAATAAAAAACAAAAACAATGTACCTAGCAACTGAAAATAACGTCAGTATTTGTCACGTGTGGAGAATATTGTCATTATATCTGTGTTGATATATTCAACCATTTTCTTTTGATTTTATGAATCTGTTGTGTATTTTGCTTTGATAAAGTCCACATTGGACGAAACGCGTCAGCAATTACCAGTTTTCTTATTGTCATTTTTATTCATAAATATTGTCTTTCTACTGGTTAAATCGGAGAAATTTTCATATATATATATATATATATATATATATATATATATATTATGAAATCGACTAAGTCCTCCAAATATATTTTGATACGTTATTTTCATAGATACAAGTATTTAAGTAAATGCTCTGTTTATAATAAGCACTATTAATAACATTTACCGGCCTGAATGTCCAAGAAAGCTCAAAGAAAAATTTCTGTCCTCCGACAGGAATCGAACTTGTATCCTGACGTGCTATACCATTTAGCAACAAATGGAGCGTCTGGTTAGCAAGGTTAAATTACTCTTGTTAATACTTTTGTAAATGTTGTTAATACGGTTTATTATAAACAGTGCATTTACTATTTGTATCTATAAAAATAACTTGTAAACAGAAAATATGTTAAAGTAATTGTAGTCCATTTCATAATATATTATGCAATTTGTTTACGTTCAGATACACTTTGAGCAGATATGAGCATCCGGGAGGGATCATCTGAAGATTGTAGCTCAAAAGCAGTAATTTAATCTTGCTAACCAGACGCTTCCTCTGTAGCTAAATTGTATAGCACGTTAGGCTATATGGCGGTTCCATGTAGGATAAAGGTTCAATTCCTGCCGGAAGACCCCCCATATATATATATATATATATATATATATATATATATATATATATATATATATATATATATATATATATTAATCAGTTCATTCTAAGCCAGGCGATAATGTGATTAAAACACATGGGGAGTGAAAGAGAATGAAATAAATTAGAAGGAAACAGGATCAAATCCTAAAAAGGAAACCAAAGATAAACCTTTGCTTCTGTTCTAAAGACTAGAGAGGAGTGTGAACCGGGCAATAGTCGAACCTCTCTACTCCTAACTTATGAACTATTCCAATAATTGTGCTAGCCTTTATTTTGTAACGTTTATTCATGACCTGGTTTTTATAACTGAATTAACCTGAACTACGTTAAATAACTTTCAAAGTATTATGTTGAAATATTATGTTGATATATATATAGGAAATAGTATGATAAGTTGGAAAAATTGTGACGCGTTTCATCCGTTAGAATTTCATCGGACTGGGATTTGTTGATGTTGCAACGTCTACACATGCGCACGAAATGAGAGACGCTGGTAATTTCAAAACTTTTTTGAAAGAATATTTTTTTGAAAGAATATTTTACATACCCTATATCCCTGATATTAAGCACTTTAACCCATGACATTAAAACTATATTTTATGTGTTTAGTATATAATCTAGCCAATTTAATTTAGATTCATTTTCTGTTTGTTTCCATCATATTTATTATTAGATATCCCACATTCTGAAATCTGACCTGAAAAACCTTCTGGGACGACACGGTGACACAACTTTCCTTGCAGTAGATGCAGCTATTGATTCAAGTCAGTTTAAAACGTGAGGCCAAGAAGCCGCAGAAGATCTGCTAAATAACCTGGACGCAAATTTACTGTGGATAAACTCGCGATTGAAGCACTTTCTAAAAATTTTCGTCTCTGTGAATTATGTTCGCTTTTAATTAGAGGAGCATTTTTATGTCAAAATTATTGTTAGAGTATCGTTACCGGTGAGCAACTAATGGGTTTTTAAATACCTCTCTTGTGTTCATATAATATTTTATGTGAAATTCTTGAGGTTTCTCCAATATATTTTTTCTGGCAAGCCTTGCAAGTGATAGAGTAAATTCCTACTTGGCCCGTTGTTATGTTTTGTATTCAGTCTTTTTGTTGTTTTAGATGTAGTTGTGAGAAAGTTCATGTTGAGTTTAAACAAATTGTTTTCGAATGTGGTTGTTATAGAGTTAGTGAGTAGAACTGACTAGATTATATTACCTAATTTTATACCTTTAATGACTCCAACACGAAACTGCTCTCATTTAAGCATCATAGAGAATTTTTCATGCATGCCATCAGCATGGCCGATGCTAGACTCATGGATAGCAACACACTGCGGCTTCTTGGCCTCACGTTTTAAACTGACTTGACTGTAAGGAAAGTTGTGTCACTGTGTCTTCCCAGAAGGTTTTTTTTTTCTCGTCAGAGTACATCTTGCACGTTTACAAATCGCCCTGGTGCTCAGAGCTCGGACTACGTGAGTTGAAGATTGCTACTAGATTGCCATCTACGTCCCAAACTTTTACTGTTGAATTAGTTAAATATATCTGCCACTTCTACTCTAATAGTTTCTTTTCTCGCACTTTCTAACTGTGATACTCCATTTCGTTTACTTGCTTCCCTGATAACTACAATCTTAAAAAATTTAAATGCAACGTCAATCGTCATCTTCTATCTTCTTGAAACCCGTTCAGCTTTTATCCTTTTCTCAGTCCTCTCTATACCGATTCTTTTCTCTCATCTTCACTCTCTATAATCCCATGCGTACCAGTGGCATTCCCGCCTTACTAGGGGTGAAATGATTAAAAAAAAAAAAAAACGGAGATTGGGCGAAGGCGGAGAATGGGCGCCTCATAACCAGCTGCTTCGTGTAGATGGAACTCGAAAGCCCAGGAGGACAGTCCATCTAGAGGAAGGAAAAACTCTGCTGCATTGCTATCATATCCAAACACGGAAAAGGCTATGGAAGTAATGACAGAAAAACCTGAGTGTAGCCCCGAAGTCTGTGGTTGTCAACATTGACGATTTCCCGGCAACTCCTACAGCCAAAATATGCCAAAATGTAATGCCCTGTCTTCCTTTGGACCATGGTACTACCAAGAGGTGAGGCATGTTGTTTGGGCATTGCCCGACGTCTCTATGCCATCACCCAGGCCTACGCCTTGGAGAAGACGTCCTAGTTTCACCACGAACGCACCGAATTTTGACCAAACATGATACTACTTTTATGTCGTGATATAAACGGATGCCTACGCCTATTGTCCGTGTAAACTGAGTCGATTTTATTTGGCTGTAGGATGTAGAGAAAAGTTTAGCAAAAGGTTATGACACTATGTATCAAATAAACAATGAATGTCTTTACCAATAACCAGAAAAATTAATCTAGCCGCCACCTGCGTAGATAATCATCTAATAACCTTAGCTTAGAATAGCTTACGAGTAAAATTATTAGGTAGGCAAAGAAGAACTGTCTGACCAGTTAAAGTTGAACGTTGGCGGGATGTAAGAAACATTCACGACAGACATTTTTTAGATTATCTCTTCTTTATGTGTCTTTTCCTGCCAGGAAGTAGGCGATCATGGCTCTCTACAACTTCCTGTCCCTTGTAGCTTTTAATAATCACTGTCTTTCTATTATTTCTCCTAAACTCTGTTCCGCCATTTATTCAAGCTCACTATGCATGTTATGCGCTGTTTTCCTCCCTTTCACATGGCTTCTATCTGTCCCGTGAGTATTAGATTTTCCAAGCCTTCCTTCCTCACTATGCAACCCAGAAACCTCAACTGTCTCTTCCTGATGTTAATATGTTTCCTTTTTGTTTCCATTTTGTCTAAAAACTTCGTTGTTGTTCGGTCTATGATATCCTCAGCATCCTTCTGTAGAACAGCATTTCTGTTGCTTCAAGCCTTTCTTCATCTTTGAGGAGATTGCCCAGCACTCACTTCTATACAGGAGGATATTAGTTTAT